TACCATGAATGTCTCCTCTTTCTCTCTTGTCGATTCTAAACTTTTGGACGACTAAAAAAAGTATACTATCTCTATTTTTTTAATTTAAATTATTTTATTGAAAAAAAAGGTTAGTTTAAAAAAAAAAACAAATTGGGTTGAGCTCGGGATGATTTATGGTATATTTTGTAATAGCAAAATAAAATAAAAATAATTTTTTTTTCTTTTTTTTTTTTTTTTTATCAAATTGCACCGGTGCAAACAATATTTGGATAATGTGGAAATAATATTTACATGTTTTAAATATGAAATAGAGGTAGAAAATGAACTAAATTTTGAGATGTGGCAAGAGGAAATATAAATATTGTAACTTAAATAAAACTAATAACTTCGCTTCCCACATGTGGAATCCAAGCTTTGAAACTGATGTCATGGACTTCGAACATTGTTTGTATGGAATCCAAGCTTGTTCGACCACACATGCTGTCTGTGCATACATGTTCAATCGACACAACCGACTTGTCTCTATACTAGGCTAAGTCATTCGGTTCGACCTTCTCTCTGCTCGAGGCCAAGGTCTCTCAATGCACTATCACGTCTCTTCTTGTCATCTCGATCTCCATCGACATGGCCCATGTCTTGACGACATCCCGAGTCTCGGTGTCGTCGGTCATCAAAACTCATTGGTCATGCTATCGAGAACGAGCCCGCATTATCGGGACTTCCCAAGCATCTATCCATTTGGGTTTTATTATGTCATTTACGTATACCGTGCCAGATAGTGAGTGTATGTAGTAACCTCCAACACGCGGGTTGGGGCGAAATACCGACACACCCTTGCCGCCTGGTACTGTCCTTGAAAAAAACTCATTTCAAAGGAAGTCGCCCCGAGATACTCTCTCAGCACGCTCACCCACATTGTGACACACGTATGTGACATAGAGTAGCTTGTTAAACGAACACGACTCTCCACAATGGTATGATATTGTCCACTTTGAGCATAAGCTCTCATGGCTTTGCTTTGGGTTTCCCCAAAAGGCCTCATACCAATGGAGTTAGTATTCCTCACTTATAAACCCATGATCACACCCTAAATTAGTCGATGTGGGACTTCCATCATCCAACACAAGTGCGCCTCCCCTTAATCGAGGCTCGACTCCTTTGGAGTCTTAGTCATTTTTGACGGCCTTCGAGGAGGGGCTTAGCTCCTTTTCTTTTAAGAGTTCTTTGTTCGATATTTGAGGATTTGAGGATTTACCAATCTAACTTCCATCATCCAACATAGCTCATTTAGGCCACAGGGGCCAGGAGTGATGGAGTGCTCAAGTGACTTTAAGAAGAATTGAACGACCAGGAGTGATGGAGTGCTCAAGTGACTTAAGAAGAATTGGACGGTAACTTGTACGGTGTATGATGATGCAAGCAACACAGCCATAATGTTATGCTATGTTTATGTATGCTTTGTGATGATATATGATGCCATATTATGTACGTATGTGATGTTCTATTATGTCATGATATGAACGAAATGAAGTGCTATATATGCAATACTATGTCTTGCCACGTGAAGTCATGTTTAGATTACATGATGATGCAAGATGAAAGCCATGCTAACTATTATGCATACATGACTCATAATTGTACTATGACATGGACGAAAGGAAGAACCAAATGATTCTTATTATATCCTATGATTTTAAACCACGAGACCTCACACATTTATGTATGTCATGTGTGTCGGGATAATTCTACATTATGTTATCTTAGTACAAGTTCGATATTTATGTATCTTTCCCTCCGTGGTGTCCGACGCGTCAGTGCATTTAGCCCCACAAAGCCAAGCCCAGGGGTACGTATTCGGCATGGTTGGCTCATGTGCGAGTGCGTGGGGAAGTACCAACCATCAAATATATATGTGTTTGCATTACTCAAACCCAACGATGAGATTATGAGTCCATAAGTATTTGCATTACTCAACCCGTGTATTTGCATTACCTAAGTCCAACAGTGAGTTTATGAGTATTTCTTAGAATACTCAAGCTTCACCACGTATGTGTGTTTGCTTACCCAACCCCAATAGTTACGAGTATTTAAGAGGTTATGAGTATTTAGGTCCCATCACGTATATGTGTACGAGTACTTAAAATACTCAAACTACGTAAGTGAACCTACATAGATTGCAGCTAAGATATAGATGATGGTGATGCACGAATGATGATAAATTCTAGAGCGACCATGAAAACTAAGATATGGGTGACGGTGAATATTGTAGTGATCATAGAAGACATTGTTTTCGATTAGTAGTTTCATAAGTGACTTGTCATTTTCGTACACTAACTCGAACGAGCTAGAAAGAGAGAAACGAGAGTTTTCAAACCCTTTTTTCATAAATTTTTGAAAAGGGATAAGTAGCCATGGCCTCTAAATCCAAAACCCAAGCACCACAAATCCCCCGTTACAAATTTACACCAAATCCCTCCAAACTCAACCTACAACATGTCTGTACAACAAAAAAATAAGAAACAACAACCGGAAGAACACGAAGAACACGAAGAACACGAAGAACCCACAAACCCCTCCTCCCCACAAACTCACAGCTTCCCTCCGATCCCTCCTCCAATATCGTCTCCAATCTCCGCCCATACTTCCCTCCCCGCCTCTCATTCAATACATAAACCGCCGGCGCCACCTCCCCCTTCATCTTCATCATCACCGCCGCCATCTCACAAAATTTTCCCGTTAATTTTCCCACCAACCAAACAGATTGATTTTCCCGAGAAAATTCACCCAGAAAATCTTGTTTTGGGGATACAAAGAGGTGGCCTGTGGGTATAAATAACGGATTTTCAAAGGGTCCTCGAATTTCTGGGAGGTTTGACTGGTGATCATGCTGCCACGTCACTCATTGACTTAGTCCTTGAATGTACCGCGTTATTACCACGTGGCATCAACTGCCCAACTGTCTCGTGATCTCTTGCCGCGTGGCCGTTCATAGCCGTTGGATCGATGACACGTGGTTATGGTTTAGCTTTACCGACCCATGGGAATTATTTTCGGATATTTCAGTTTTTTTATATTTTATATTAATTAAGTAAAGGCGTAATTAATTGGCACACGGAATTATGACCTGTTGGCACACAAAATAAGATGGTCCTTATTCAAAAATTAATAACTGAATTTTTTTAAATAATATTTAGCCGCCCCTCGTTTTCTGTTTGGCCGTTATTTTCATTGGGAAAAAGGTTGACCGTTCACGTTGACCATTATCGTATTATTGGATTTTGATTTAAATTTTGGATTAAATTAATAAAAATACTTAAAAAATAGAGTTATAATTAGTATTATTTTGAAAAATATATCTAAAATTGTAAAAGTGAATTGACATTTTTAACCTTTTAAACTCTTCTAATAGTTAATATGTAGGCTAATAAATATTTTTAAAAAAATTTAATAGTACTTTTGAACGTTTAAAAATAGAATTAAAAGTTTTGAGTTGAATTTGAAATTTAACTGAAATTAATATTTAAATTTCAAAAGATTAAATTAATAAAAATGTTGGTTTAAAAAATATTTTTAAATTTTTAAAAGTTTCACTGAATACAATATATTTGCCTTAATAAATGATCAACTATCCTTAGCACCCCGCAAGTTGAGCGTCGGATTTGAACGTGAAGCTTGAGGATCTGAAAAATTTTAAAAAGGTCGATAAACACTTTTTGTGAAGATGTCAGCAACTTGGAAATGGAATGGTACATATTGTGTGCGAAGCTTGCCAACAATAACAAGTTCTCGAATGAAATGATAATCTAATTTAACATGTTTGGCCCGCCTGTGAGAAACGAGATTAGAGTGTTGAAAGGAAGAAGATGATAAGAGGATTCGGAAGCCATAGAGAAGAAAAGATCAAGGTTGTTAAAAAGCTCTGTTACTATGAAAATATTTACTAAAACCACCGAGGTAAATGATGGTAGAAGTTCTCTATTTATAATTATTTATCAGAAAATATGGTAAATTACAGATAATATAAAAAGAACAATAAAAGAAAGAATAATAAATGAATACAGTATATTTATCTTTTATTTAAATATGGTAAACATAATGTAAGACAGATGTCTAGATATTTGATTTGTTTTAATAATATCCTCAAACTTTTAATAACGTTTTAAAAATAGGCTTCAACTTTAAAATTTTTCAATAATACATTTTAATTTTTTTTTTAACAATTCAAAAATACTTTATTGCTCAGTAATATGTTTTAAAAATATTCCTAAAATTTTAAAAGTAATTTTAATATCTTTTATCTATATAATTTTTTTTTTGTTAAAAAAAATTTTATATGTCGAAAATCATATATCGATATTTCATTGATTATCTTCGAATGTTTTAATGTTATTTCGGAACGTGAATAAATATTTTTGAAATGTTGCAAATGGCGATGTGTTTTTTAATTCTTTTAAAAAAGTTAAAAAATAATATAACTATTTTTAAAATAAAATATTAATAATTTTCATTTGTTTAGGTATATTTTTAGACCAAATGTAAATTTGAATAGTATTAAGAAAAAATATTATTGGAGGAAAGTCGGAATACTCTCTCCAGTGGTATGAAGCCTGTTCGGAAAGTCCAAAGCAAAGCCATGAGAGCTTATGTTCAAAGTAGATAATATTATACCATTGTAGAGAGTCGTGTTCATCTAACATAGTATCAGAGCTATGCCCTAAATTAATCGTGTTAGTAGAATCCCCAAGCGTCGAACAAAGGACTTCAAAAGAAAAATGAGTCGAGACTCGATTAAGGAGAGACTTATAATGTACTTTGTTCGAGAGGAGGATTATTGAGAGGTTTACAAGTAACGAATAGTATCTCCATTGGTATGAGACCTTTTCGGAAAGCACAAAGTCATAAGAGTTTATGCTCAAAGTGGACAATATCATACTATTTTGGAGAGTCGTATTCATTTACGCGTGGATTATGTAGATTATGAGGTGATGAAAACCTCAGTGGTCAAAATCATGGAATATCTTCAATGGGAGAGAAATTCTGGAACATTGACGCGTTCTTGAATTTGAAAACCGGACTCCGAGTCTCATAGCATTGCCAAAAATGCACCGCCGCTTTCGCCCAACATGTTTCATCTTCAACGATCAAAACCCATTTTCCGTTTCAAATTCCCGAATTTTCCCGCCACCCATTCAAGACTTCTCAACACGCTTTCATCTCTGTTCAGTCGATGCAAATCTCGTCAACAGCTCCAGCAAATTCACGCCAGGTTCGTCCTCCATGGTTTCCACCAAAACCCAACTCTCTCTTGCAAACTCATTGACTGCTATGCGAATTTTGGACTCCTTAATCTCTCTCACCATGTTTTCAATTCTATAATCGATCCCAATTCGGCTCTTTACAATGCTATTCTGAGAAATTTGACTAGATTTGGTGAATATGAGCGCACCCTGTTGGTGTACCGAGAAATGGTTGCTAAGTCCATGCACCCTGATGAACAAACTTACCCTTTTGTTTTGCGATCATGTTGTTGTTTGTCAAATGTTCAATTTGGGAAGAACATTCATGGGTGTTTGATTAAGCTTGGTGTTGATTCTTATGATACGGTTGTTACTGTTCTGGTTGAGATGTACGAAAAGTGCATTGATTTTGAGAATGCCCATCAACTGTTTGATAAAATGTCTGTGAAGGATTTGGACTGCTGGAGTTCATTGATTACAGAGGCGCCTCAAAATGGTAATGGGGACGATATTTCCCGGCTCTTTGGGAGGATGAAATCAGAGCCATTAGTGACAGATTCACTCACATTTATCAATCTCTTGAGGTCTGTTTCGGGTTTAAGTTCAATTCAGCTTGCAAAAATTGTTCATTGTATTGCAATTGTGAGCAACTTATGTGGAGATTTGTTGGTAGATACTGCCGTGTTGTCTCTTTACTCCAAGTTAGGTAGCTTAGTAGATGCTCGCAAGTTATTTGAAAAAATTCCTGAAAAGGACCGTGTTGTATGGAATATAATGATAGCAGCTTATGCTCGAGAAGGACGACCAATGGAATGTCTCGAGCTTTTCGAGTCCATGGCACGATCCGGGATTAGAGCCGATCTATTTACTGTGCTTCCTGTTATCTCTTCGATTTCACAGCTGAAACGTGCTGATTGGGGCAAACAAACCCATGCCAACATATTGAGAAATGGTTCAGATAGTCAAGTTTCAGTTCATAATTCTCTCATAGACATGTACTGCGAGTGTAACAGCTTAGATTCAGCTAGTAAGATCTTCAACTCGGTCACAAACAAGACTGTAATTTCATGGAGTGCTATGATCAAGGGGAATGTCAAACATGGTTATCCTCTCATTGCTTTGTCTCTGTTCTTCAGGATGAAATCTGATGGCATTCAAGCTGATTTCATTACAGTGATCAATATCATGCCTGCATTTGTTGACATAGGAGCACTTGAAAATGTAAAATATTTACATGGGTACTCATTGAAGCTAGCCCTGACTTCCCTGCCATCCCTTAACACAGCCCTCCTAATCACCTATGCAAAATGCGGGTGTATAGACATGGCCCAGAGGCTATTTGAGGAAGAGAGAGTTAATGACAAAGATTTGATAATGTGGAACTCCATGATCAGTGCTCATGCCAACCATGGAGATTGGTCTCAATGTTTCAAGCTCTACAATCAAATGAAGTGCTCGAATTCAAACCCAGATCAGGTAACGTTTCTCGGACTACTAACAGCGTGCGTCAACTCCGGTCTCGTCGAAAAGGGAAAGGAGTTTTTCAAGGAGATGATTGAAAGTTATAGCTGCCAACCAAGTCAAGAACATTATGCTTGTATGGTTAATCTCTTAGGGAGAGCTGGGCTTATCAATGAAGCTGGAGAACTTGTAAGAAACATGCCGATCAAACCCGACGCTCGAGTTTGGGGTCCATTGTTGAGTGCTTGTAAGTTGCATCCTGGGTCTAAGCTTGCGGAGTTTGCGGCCGAGAAGCTCATCGATATGGAGCCGAAAAACGCAGGGAATTACATATTGCTTTCGAACATATATGCTGCTGCAGGTAAATGGGATGGAGTGGCTAAAATGAGAAGTTTCCTCAGGGATAAAGGGTTGAAGAAGACCCCTGGTTGTAGTTGGCTGGAGATCAATGGCCGTGTAGCCGAGTTTCGTGTCGCTGATCGAACTCATCCGAGAGCCGAAGATATCTATGCCATTCTGGGAAACCTTGAACTTGATATCAAAGAGGTTAAAGAAATGAGTCCAGAAAAACTGGGTACTCTTCTATAACACTTCTGCGTCCATTTTTTTTTTATAAATGTGTTAAAAGAATGAGAATAGAGTATCACAACTTCCTGCTTTCAACCGCTTCCAAACCATCGCCATTGCCCTTGCTTCCGAACCTTAAGCAACCACTACTAGTCCTTAAGTCACAAATTACAGTCTCCGACTAGTCCATACATCACCGCAAGTTGCAAGTATGTGAGCCTTGCATTACCACTACTATCGCAATAGTCCCACTAGCTTCTATTGGTATCCCACTCTTCCGCAAACCAACCGTGTTTAAGGAAGGATTTTTCCGTCATGACTTTAGATCCCACTGGAGCTTTTGATCCCACCTATGTTTATTGCACTTTCAATCCCAATTCCATTTTTCATTCTTAACAAAATGATAGGCTTAAATCCATTTATTCTATTGTATCATGTTCTACGAAGTTGATTATATTAATGTAAATGATCTCATTTCATCAGTATTAGTATTATTATTTAATTTCAAGCAGTTGCATAGTTGATTATCAACTCCGTATCAAAGAGAATGGGAAACAGCTCCTCAACTTCGAACTCAAAAACTCGAAAAAGTCGCCTATGGTGGCATGGCGAGCGTGGAATTAGCAATGACATTGTGTTTATACTAAAATTAAGGTTAAATTACAAGTTTAGTACCTAAATTTTCATGTTTTTGTCCGTCTTTAAAATATAAAAAATGTAAAATTAATAGAAATACCTATAAACTTTATAGTTCTCTAAACTTTAAATTTTTTTTTAATAATATTCTTGAATTTTCAAAAAAGTTTTAAAAAATATTATTAGGAAATACTAACTTCAAAAGTGCTATTGAATTTTAAGAAATTTCATTAATATCTTTCTGACTTTTTAAAAAAAGATACTTATGAAATTTTAAGAAAAGATACCTATGAAATTTCAAAAGTAACATTAACACTCTTCACCCTTATAAGAAAAAAAAATTTAAAAAAATCTTATTGTCAACATATGGATGAAAATCGTCTGTCAACACTTCATAGAATATTTATAAACAGATTAACGTTAATTTTGAAAGTTCATGAGTATTTTTAGACGGGTTCAGTAACTTTGGTTAGGTCAGATATTCAAAATTCTTAAAATTCGTAGTACTTAATTGTAATATTATATTCTATAAAAAAAAAATTGTTGAATAAAAATGGATGAAAATAATTATTTAATTTGGTTGTATTTAATAAAAGGGTTGGGACAAATTCAAATAAAGCCCCCAAAATTTGGCAATATTGTGATTGGGACCTATCTATTAAAATTAAAATTTAGCAATAACGAGTATCATTTTCTATTAACATATCTACAATGTGCGAAAAATCCTTTTAAAAACATTTTATAATCGATACATAGACTTAAACGTTCGTAGAATCATTTCAAGTAAAAGTAAACTTCAATAGAAAAGCAAAAACGAAGTAAAATAAGAAAACGTAGGATGTGGCTTGAGTATTTAAAAAAGTACTCAATATGTAGCCCCCTATTCGGATCAGAAGATACAGACACATGCAATCATGTTGGGACCTATCCTTTCATAATCATCATAGCCGATTAAATGTGCATTACTTCTCTACACACAATCCACGTATGAGTATATGAACCCCCAGGCTTGTGTACGTCCCCCTTGAACCTGATCATCGACTAGCATACATTCACATTACCGAAAAATACTTAATAAGTCATGGCAATCGACAGTGTAAGTGTATGCTTGAGTATTTTAGTGTACGCGTCACTCCCACGTGGCTAGTGTGTTGTACAACATGAAAAATACACCCACGTGGCTTGAGTATTTTAGAAATACTTAGTACAAAACCCCACTGTTAAGGTTAGGTAGTATAAACACACATATAAATGATGGTACCTATCCTTTAAAACAACATAGCATGACCTTAAACTCTTTGCAGTTCCGGACAAGGTTGGATGTGTGGTACTTCCCCACAAACGGCCTACACGCACACATGGACCCACCAAGCGGGCTAATATATGTACCTCCTCAGCTTGGCTTGGTCGGGCTCAATGCATTAACACGTCGCTAGACGCCACGAAAGGAAAAAGCCCACATGATATCATAGTGTACATAAATATCGAAGGTACGTATCTGTATGAACATAGCATGACGGAATAGTATCCCGATGCATATGACATACAGAAATGCACGAAGTTTCCATGGTTTAAAATCATAACATAACCTCAAAATCATTTACTTCTTCCTTTCCTTTCATCCATGACATAGTACATATATGCGTGACGTATGCATAGTAATTTAAACAAAATTAACCATATCATATATTTGTGCGTGTATGTACAAATTGATTCCCTTATCCATTTGGTCAAACGTTGGAGTGCATAATGTCCAAAATCAGCCATGCCTTATCTCTCGAGTGTAGATATTATATATCTGTATTCATTAAATGAAACAGAGACAGAGACAGAGACACAGAGACAGAGACAAAGAACATTGACTTCTTTGTCTTCCAGGAACCAAGAAAGGAAAAAAGACATCATTTTTTGTCTGTAATTTTTGTGGGTTTTGGAGGGGAAGTGTTTGTTTTTGTTTGGTGTAGAGGGAGAAATGGAGGGAGGCTTCCATGGAGGCACTACTGATGGGTCGGCTTTCAGACAATGCTTTTCTCTGCTCTGGAACAATCCTTATGTTCTTCGTCTTGCTTTCTCTGCTGGAATTGGTGGCCTTCTTTTTGGTTATGACACTGGTAATCTTCGTTCTTCTTTGTTCGTTCTTGCGTGAGAAGTGAGTGTCATCGAGGACGCTAGGTCTCGAGGGAGGTGAATTGTGAGAGGAGCGTAGAACGAGTGTCAGCGAGGATGTTAGGCCCTGAAGGAGGTGAATTGTGAGATCTTATATCGATTGGCTAGTGAAAAGAGTGTCACCGAGGATACTGGGCTTCGAAGGGGTGAATTGTGAGATCCCATGTTAGAACGAGTGCACGCTAGACCTCGAAGAGGTGGATTGTGAGATCCCAGATCGATTGTGAGATTGTACGTCGGTTGGAGAGGAAACGAAACATTCTTTAAAAGGGTGTGAAAATTTCTCTTTATCAGACATGTTTGACGGGAAATCCGAAAGGGAAAACATGGTCGATGCGATGATTTGGGATGATGTTTGTGTCTTTGCAGGAGTGATTTCTGGAGCACTTCTTTACGTAAGGGATGATTTCAAGTCGGTGGACAGAAACACTGTTTTACAGGTTCTTAATTTTATATATATATATATATATTTTTTTTTGACAAATGAAATTCAAAATCTTTTTTTTACTTTTTTTTCTGGGAGGGAACGAGAAGAAATTTCTACCCATTAGTAAAATAGGGCCGAAGACGGAGATTATATCTTCGTTCTGTCCCTTTTTAAATATATAAATAAATCTCTATTATTTGTGATCGGGTAATTTATTTTTAAATTGTATATCAATATTTTGTCGTTTTGGGTAAGACAATTATTTCAACCATATTCAAGATCATAATCGTCCTATTTTCATTTTTTATAACCTTAGTCTATCTTCCTCAATTTATTTATCATGATGTCGATTTCAATACTATTAATTAAAGTATAGAAGGAATACCCGTTACGTATCAAATATATTAAATAAAATTTATAGTCTAATTGTTTTTTCTCCATTTTCGACCTATGTTCAAACCTTGACATAATCTTGTCAAATTTTTAGACCATTTACTAATAAATAATAAATAATTTTGAAATTCATTAAATGATTTGTATTTTTTGTGACCTCTTTTTTTTTTTTTTTCTATTGGTCTACATGCAAATTTTAAATTCAAAATGATTGTTCACAATAATGACATTAAACTTGACATTATAATTCATGAAAAACAATATATTCTTAGAAAAAGAGAAATTTAGATGAAATTTGTATAGTTTTTGTAGTTTTAATTTTAATTAAATTAAAAATAAAATAATACTATAATTAATTTGAAAATTAAATACTTTCTTTACTATAATAAATTTAAAAATTATTTATTTTATTTTAATAAATTTAAGACAAATATATATATATATATGAAGAGAGAAAAACTATGGGTTTGGAAAGTACAACCCATGAGGTTGATTGGTTTGTAACCTTGTAATTTTGTAGTTTACATTTGAAGCCCGACCAAACTAAACCTAAAGACTAAATCGATAGTGTTTCCAATGATTTAAATCTCGAACAACCTAACTCATCCAAATCAATGGATTTCCTAATGTATTAAACCTCGATTCACTCAGATCTAAATTTATAGGTTGTTCAATGTATTAAACCTCGATCAACCCAAATCAGCCCCGCTCTAATCCAAATCAATAGGCTTTCTAGTGCATTAAATCTCGATCCACCCAACCCCACTCGAATTCAAATCAGTATGTTTTCCAATGCATTAAATCTGATTGGTTAGCTTCTCTCCTCATTTGGAAGTGCAGCTGAAGTCTTGGTGATGATGGTATTGACATGACACAGGAAACCATAGTGAGCATGGCAATTGCAGGGGCCATAATAGGAGCGGCAATTGGAGGATGGATGAACGACCGATATGGAAGACGAACTGCAATTCTCATGGCAGATTTTCTCTTCTTCATTGGAGCTGTGATCATGGCCGCTTCGCCTGGCCCTTCCCTTCTCATTGTCGGTCGGGTTTTCGTTGGCCTTGGTGTGGGAATGGCTTCCATGACCTCCCCTTTGTACATCTCTGAGGCTTCCCCTGCAAAAATCCGTGGTGCCCTTGTTAGCACAAATGGTTTTCTCATTACTGGTGGCCAGTTTCTATCCTATCTCATCAACCTGGCTTTCACCAAGGTAAATAATCAAGTCAAATATCAGAAACATACATACTTTCTGCTACTAATGTTAAGCTATACACCATGTTAATAACGACTCTCCACAATGGTAGTATGATATTATCCACTTTGAGCATAAGCTCACATGGCTTTACTTTGGGCTTCCCCAAAAAGCCTCATACCAATGGAGATGCATTCCTTACTTATAAACCTATGATCATTCCCTAAATTAGCCAACGTGGGACTCCCTCCC